CACACCGTATCTACCCTCCAGAGGCATCAATAAGTACAATGCTTCTCTCATACCCAAGACCCCACTACAGTCGATATGCACCGCAGAAGCCCAATCCAATCCAAGTTAAGTTCCGGTTTCTTCTGATATACGTGACAACACACGAGTGGATAGGTTTGCGCCCGGAATCTGTTGTCGATGACTTTTTCTACAACCATTGTGCCGTGTTCTGTGAACGGCGATCAACAAGTCCAAGTTTGGCTCTCATGCGCAAGCATACATTTAACAACCGCGAATCTCATACATTCCGCATCTCTTTTGCATCCTTCAAAGGTATAAGTTATATGAACAACTCTGATGGCTCAATGCTCCACGAAAGCTGATATGAGATTTAAATTAAGTGAGATGATCAGACATCAAGACACCGTAGACTTTGCCCCAACGCGCAGTCTATCTCTACGTCACAGCACAAAATTCATCGTGTCACGATCATCGGCCCAGAGTCTCGCATACTCCAAACATAGTCTGTAGACGTACGCTATTGCCAAACCAAGTCAGGTCAACCAATTTGCAAATACATGCCCGCAAAGCTAGAACGCACCTTCCATATCGACAGTCCTCCCTATCGTCTTCCTCCACTGTCGGCCCGCACGTGCGATGCGCTGTAAACGCTGGTCGCCGTCTAGTGACTGTATTGGGTGCGTTGTAGTCAAATTTGCAGCGGCCAAAGTTGACGGTGAAGGTCCGGAGAAATACGCGTGGATGTTGTATACCTCGGCATAAGACGAGGATAAAGGTATATAGTGTAGCCTTGCTTGCTATTCAGCCTTGCATCTGAGTGCCAGTTATAAAACACACCATGGCTGTAACCAATCTGACAGGTACTCCCGCCATACAGTACTCTTTATGACAGCGCTTTCACTAGATAAGAGTGCCAGGAAACGTCCCGAGTAACCCATACCATCAAGATCAAGGAGATATTTATACGCCCAGTGCTGGCCCAGAGGAACGGGTGATGCAAAGCGGTGACCTTTTCTAAGTGCTTCCTCGCCGCCAGGATATCCGCCAGTTGTCGAAACAAATGCAACATCCATTATGTCGTCGTTTAGCTGTCGCGCAGGCACCTCAGCCGTAATAAAGTTGTTAGCGTTCGAGGGGTCAGCATGGATAATGGTCCGATTTCCTGCTGCACTCTCGTGTGTCATGTGAAGAAATCTGTCACGAAAGATGAGAATCACGTGATAGGCAGCAAGAACGGATTACCTGTGTCTCTGGTAATACGACGCATAGCCCGGGGGAGTGCTACCACCACCAGTGTCTGCGCCCCGCCAGAAAACGGCGCCTATCTTTTCTTCCCATGGAACCTCCGAATCATCAACGTCATAGGGTTCATCACCGTGAGCATTGAAACCGTAAGTGTACCTGGGATGTTGTGTAAAATAATAGTGGCTCGGAATCCTAATATCCAAGAATCCTGAGGCCTTTGCGGGAGATAAAACAGGGTAAAGTACAGGTATCGTGCGCCAGTCCGAGAAAAAGTGGCCTTGGGAAGAGTGAGCCCAGGGATATGAACAGTAATCGATGGAATCTTCGACGCTTGGCACAAAGGTGAATTCGTCTCCAGGAGCTGGAGCGGAGCCGAAGAAAACTTTTGCATTTTCAGCATTGGGATTGCGGTATGAACTGTAGAGGCGACGGGCTTCAGCTTCAGGTGGACATGTTCGGCGATAAGCTGCCCAAACACTTCCTTGCCCCTTCCAATCAGAAGTGAAGTCAGATCCAACCATAGAGGTTATTCCACCTGAGGCGCAGTTAATGCATGACCCTAAATTCACCAATGACATATGTAACAGACCTGATGAATCTTGTAACGTCATGTTAGGAAATTGACGGTGTTCCCAAGGTACCAAGATCCTGCCCTCCGCCTTCGAGTTGATAGCAAATTGCATGTCAGGGAGCTAGAGGCCTTCATGAACAGAATGAATGGACAGAGAGGGCTGGGCAAACACACCTTATCTTGAAATTTCTCGAGTAAAGTCATAAACCCCAATGCTCTATGTCCGCGCTCGCTACCCGACTTGTCAATGGAGGTGCCTTCGGCCTTGCCATTGACGATGCGGATCAAATCAATAGACGGAAGTTCGGTAACCTGCAAAATAAACGTCATGGTACTGTGGTGGAGGGGAAATCACACTCACTTGAACTGTCCTCCTTCGAAACTCTACGCCAGACATATTCCAGAACGGTGCCAAGTCTTCATCAATGGCGTCGAACTCGTCCACCAGTCTCACGTTGTTTTCCTGCGCGAATTTCCACCAACCTCCAAACCCTCTGGGAGGCTCGCGCCCGTATCTTTTCCTATATTCAGTCACAGCGCCTGCAAGAGTTCTGCTTTGCCTCGAGAGCATATGCTTGAACTTCTCCTCCGCATCCGCCATCAATTTCGGTATGGGATGTTCGGTGAGGGTGTATGGTTTCCCATCCTTCACAAAAGGGAGCCACTTGGAGGAAGTCGAGAACCAGTTTCCTCGCGAACTCAAGTCTCGTCCAGAAGTTTGATCTTTGTGACCGGCGAAAAGGCCGGCTTGCATAAAAAAGAGGAAGACACAGACGAGGAATATCCAGCCGCGCCATCTTGTTGGCTGTGCATCACCTTGATTGATGGACTGCATTGTTGAGGTGAGTATGAAACCCTGCACTGTCGAGCGCGGAGACTACGTTCAAGGTAAGATAGCTGAGGTGAACATGGAGAAGATTCTACGTGTACCGTAAATACGTAATTAATATTGATACCTTTTAAAAATTATACATTGTTCTGACGATTAAGTCCGTCATGGCCAGCTGCCACGCATGACCACATTTTGGACATGCGAGCAGGATTAAGAGATTAGTACATGTACATGTACATATGCATATGATGAAATGTTGAGTTCATTTTTGTATTACATGAAACCGATTGGCCGAGCAGATACGTTCTTGCCGGTCATCGTGATGCCACATCATCGCCCACAAAAGTCAATTAGTGAGATGATCACAAAGCAAGGTGTGTCATGCTGACTGAGGAGCAGTAGCTGAAGACTCCGTCCGATTTTAAACTGAGTAATCGTTTACCATGCATGGTGCTGATCGACAGATATAAAGCCGACTCTGAGATCTGATCCCTTGTCATCGCTTGCAAACTGCATCTCTACAATCCATAACAAAATCATGGCAGAATCAAAGGTCTGGCTAGGTAAGTTCTCGGTATTTGTTCATCGGGCTTCGCGAATTGACGAATCAATGCCAGTTACTGGATCATCCTCGGGATTCGGTCGCTCCATGACCGAACTCCTGTTAAAGAACGGAAATAGAGTGATCGCAACTCTACGGCGCAAAGAAGCCCTGTGCGATCTTGCCGAACAGTATCCGCCTTCTCAATTGTTGATCGTCCAGACGGATGTCGTAAAGACCTCGGAGGTCGTTGCCGCATTCGCAAAAGCCAAAGAGGTGTTCGGACGTGTCGATGTTGTTTTCAACAACGCAGGCATAGCTATTCTCGGAGAGATGGAGTCTATGAGCGATGAAGACGCTCGTCAAATCTTCGAAGTGAACTTTTGGGGTGCATCAAATGTCACAAGGGAGGCTATTCGGATGTTCAGGGAAGTGAACAAACCTATCGGAGGAAGACTATTGCAGGTTTCTTCTTCGTTGGGCTTACGTGGAAGAGCTGCAGCGTCCTACTATGCCGCATCGTGAGTGAACATGGCCATGTGTGACATGAATGCTCATCAACAGCTACTTCTGACAATAGTAAACAAGGTAAGCGTGTTTGTCAAGGTCGCATCAGTATCTCAAACCGGATCTTTAGCATTGGAAGGATTCAGTGAGAGTCTCGCACAAGAACTGGACCCAGCTTGGAACATACAGGTTTAGTCAATTCAGTCTGAAGAAGGAACTCAAGCTAATGCCAGGTAGATCACGATAATCGAACCAGGTCCATTCCGGACGGGGATGTTCAGGGGCAACATGCAACTTGTTCCTCAACATCCAGCATATGCAGACCCAGAGATACCTGGTTCTAAATTCCGCCAGTTTATGACTTCAACTCTGGCTGATGGAGACACTGAAAAGGCGGTGGTGGTCATTGAGAAGCTCACTCACCTAGATGATCCACCGCTAAGATTTCCATTGCACAGGATTGCAGTCAGAGCAGGGAGAGAGAAGGCAAAGAATCTCACGGAAACCATGGATAGATATGAGTCATGGACAGAAAACGTCTACTTCACGTAGTACAGCTGATGCGTGGTACTTACTTTGGACGGCATTGGATTTGACCGTGAATGTGGCGGGATATAGAAAATGCTGATGCGATTTACTCTCGTTTGAGGGATCAACAGAAGTGCATTGTACCGTTGGTGACATTCAGGAAGCCTTTGGCGTGCAGTAACAGCTAGGTTCGTCCGAGTGACTCCTTACACGCGGAATTGTAAGAAATAGAAAATAAAGGATGTGTGAAGTGCATAACATACCTTCCAGAGCCCGGTGCCAAATCATATCCGGCCTGACACAAATTTAAAATGGATTTAGATAGGACGTATGTAAGGCCAGCGCGAGGCTGTTTGAGTGGGAGACAAGCAATGGATGCATGGGAAAAGTGAGAGATATGACACGGAGGTTTGTCAGACCACAGACCTTTATTTCGGTAAACACGATCTCCGATTGATCTCTGGATAGTAGAGACGGGTGCTGCACGTCGGGTCGAGTCCAAAATAACTGTCTCGTCGACTGGGAATGCTGTCACTTGCTCATCAGTCGTCCGCTTCATCAGCCGCAGCATACTGGACTGCCTTATTTCGCTGCCATTCGTGTTAGGTCTCCGAATCGTTGATGAGGGTGTTCAAACAAAGCTTTGTGGTTGGTTCGTCATTTGTATTAGGTCATGTGATCGCGTCATGAAAACAATTCATGCTCCATAGTCCGTGTCAACCACAAGGATATTTGCTGCCATCTGAATATCATTAGAAAAGTATTCGGAAGTATATCTGGAGCATCATAATCAAGAATTACAAGTGCGGCACCAAACTAGTCCACAACACCGCCTCATATGCGTTAGGAGGAAGATTGCGTAAAGTGGTGAACATAAGTACCAAGAGGACAACACGAGCGATAATGTACAACATGGCAAATGCGAAACAAATCATAAGATATAGACCCCGCATGACGCGCATCAATGAATCGGGGAAGGGCTGTACTAAATAGATCATTTCCGAGGCCAAGTAGGCACCCAAACAAAGGCAGGGTATGCAAGTTGTAGCGACGGCACTTATACGCCATAGCACCTGTTCCTCGTATGTGGGGAATGCAAAAAACCAAGCCATACAATGGATGCCGCCGAATATGGTTCCAATAAGATATCCAGCCTGCAGAAGAGCCATCCTGTCCAAAACTTCGAGTTTGATGCTGCCATCAAATGTTGGAACTTGAAGTTTTCGAGATGTGGGAATGTCAGCCCAGCCTATCAGTTCTATAATTGGACTGAAGACTCGAGGCAAGTACCGAAGCTGAACGAATTCGTCTTTGTCGCTGACACTAAGGCAGACATAATCAACAGCGGTATAATCGTTGAGGCGCATACATACTCAATGTGACCCTCTGGCCTTGACTCAGTTGACTTCCAGTACACTGGATGTGGACATTGCACATCGAGAGGCTTGTCCCACCACACAGCATAAGTTAGGAAATTAAGAACCGCAAAAGCAAGTGTCCCCACTTCGAGCTGGGTGATTTCGAGGTGATATATGGCGCGGGTGATGAGCTGCATAACAAACCAGGCCGCCTGAAGCATGACCAATCCTTTCGATATCGCATTGCCTTTGCTCTTGTCGTGGATCTGGTTTGCTGTTATGGTAGGGACGTCGATACACTTTTCATGTATCAGCCTGAGAATGTGCTTGTGTTCTAGTGTACGGCAGGGTTCCCCGTTTGCATAAAGCATGAGACCACCCATGAGCACAAAGAAGCTGTGCGTCTGAGTCCACGTAGAAACTAAGGACACATGAGTCAACATTTGGGTGAGCATGAATTGGGCTTACCTTCAGAGTGGGGTTCGGAATGCTCTGACTGAATCCGTCTTGCAACCCACCCTATGAGAGCACAAAGGAAACGCCAAGGAGACACGAGCACAGATAATACACCTGTAAAAATCAGGAGAGAGAGGCGAGCGGTACCCCCATGAAAGCGGAGAAAGAGGAGAAAAAGGGGATTTCTAGTTCCAGGTGTTTCAACAGACACCCTTTCTAAGGACATGTATAGGGAGTTGTGAGATGTAGAGTTTTCAAAAGTACAACTCACCTTCAAACCCCGCACGAACACTGGGATACCTCGATTCCTCGAACTGTCTTGTAACTTGTTGAGCGCTGAGCCACTGGCGCATAGCCCATGTAACCATCAACTCGGGAGCGATTAGTGCCATCATCATGATGCCAAGTTGTCGCCATATCATATCAAGGGAGCTGCTGTCCTTCGGACTCGGGATATTGGGGTGGATAGCACTGTATGTGCACGCAAACAGAGTGAGAATGGAGCTGGAGATGATAGTCCATATAGTTCTGGTCGTGAATGATGGGGCTTTAAAACTGTCGCTAGTAGTGGTATTTGTTGTATTTGTTGTAGGTGCAGCTTGGACCACTCCAGCGAGGTAGAGGAAGACGCAGAAAAGTACTAAGCGCATTATGATTGGATGGGCATATCATATGCATCCTGTTCACAGTTTTTATCTTACTGGTGAGCGTTAGTACGACGAGGGTAGACTGAGAATAGGCTGGTCTTATCTCTCGAGCGTTCCGACGTTCACGAAAACAGATACGTGAGGCCCTCCATGTACCTTACTTTTCCCAAGATTTGGGAGCCAAAGTACTTCCTGAGAATGGTAACTCGGAGACTCCGGGCAAACTAAATGTGTATATGTGAGCGTCTGTTCTAATCCCGGTACCCTATTGTAGGTGCAGTTTGGATTATCTCAACGAGGTAGAAGAAGATCCGGGAAATAGTGAGTGCATTAATATTGTTGGGCGTTGAATGGAAGCTCAAGCCATGATGCATGATGCATGATGCATGGGCGCCTTGAGATGACGCCCGCTAGCAAAATACAAATACATAGTCGGAACATACCGTGATTCAATACATTCAATATCCACTGGGTACCTTCCTAGTCCTAGTAAGGTAAGTAGCTTCTATTGACTGGCCGCTGCCCTTGGTCTCCGAAACGCCCCATGCGACAATGCGACAGTGAAGTTTCGGCTGTAAGAAATATACTTCAACGCCTTTGGCTCGCAGCAGAAGTGGCAGTGACAGCGCCCCCTTTAACTTTTTATTGCAAGCTCAGGGCGGCGCTTGCCTTCGCTATGTACAATTCCATCGGTAATGAAGTACATGCGGCACTGGCATGTGTCCACGGACCACCATCGCCAGCTTGCACTGCTGCAGCATACACAGGATATTCCAAAGCCTGGTGATAATTAACTCATCAGTACGTAGTACCTTCAACTTGGGAGCCGACGCTTTCATTATTCCAATTGTAGGCTTCTATATTTCCCCTATACTTCCACCTGATGAGCTTTTAATTTGCTTATAATTAGAGCACAACCAAACTTTATGCCATCAGGAATCCAGGAGGAATGTTGCAACAACGCCTTTAGCCTAGTGGGATCGAATATCTTCGTAGCTGTCCACTCGGACGATCACAAATTGCATCCCACTTGAAACGGTTCGTGTAATAACTCACTTGTAATTCAGTCGCGGTGCGACTCACTTGTCAACTTCCTATATCAGATCAAACTGGGACCTGAGGCCTGAAGGCCTGGTGGGTCGACTGGATACTCGGTTGCTTTGAGACTACGGCGCATTTGCCGCACACCTACAACGGGATTTACAAGCGATATCTCTCATACAGTGAAGGTAGTGTGGCCATCACGAATAACCTATGAAGTATCATGCTGATTTAGGTTCTTAAGGGCTGGGCGAGTGTTTGTCATAGTAAAATGCCAGAACAACCGACACCCTTTGATACACCCGGGATATCTTACTTAAATGAATCGCAACGTGTCAGTGTTTCCACTCATTGCCGCCCTCAAGTCGATCGTCACAGCATCGAAGCTTGCTGGTGCCTCAAGGACAAGTCCCAACTAAACTTTCGCGGGTATGACATAGTATGAGCGTCTGTTCTAATAGCATCAACGATGAGTACCCCTCGCTGTCCCACAGCAGTTGACAGCGATGACACAGGCCCGACGCATGCTAAACGGCAGGATTCAATTTGCCTTCTCTTCGGTCAACTACAGTCAGCAGAATTTTCAGTCGATCAGGACTCTGTGGGAGACAAGCAGTGGTTGCACGGGAAGAGTGAGATATGACACAGAGGTTTGTCAGACCACAGACCTTTCCTTCGGTGAACACAATCTCCGATTGATCTCTGGATAGTAGAAACGGATGCTGCACATAGGGTCGAGTCCAAAATAACTGTCTCGTTGATTGGGAATGCTGCCACTTGCTCATCAGTTGTCCGCTTCATCAGCCGCAGCATACTGAACTGCCTTATTTCGCTGCCATTCGTGTTAGGTCCCCGAATCATTGATGAGGGTGTTCAAACAAAGCTTTGTGGTTGGTTCGTCATTTGTATATAGGTCGTCATTCATAGCGAGAAACGATTCATGCTCCATAGTCCGCGTCAACCACAAGGATATTTGCTGTCATCTGGATATCATTATAAATGTATGAAGTGTCTGGAGCACCATAATCAAGAATTATAAGTGCGGCACCAAACTAGTCCACGACACCACCTTGTATGCATCAGGAGGAAGATCGCGTAAAGTGGTGAACATAAGTACCAAGAGGACGACACGAGCTGTGATGTACAACGTGACAAGTGCGCAACAAGTCATAAGATATACGCCCCATATGATGTGCCTTTCTGAATCGGGTAGGCGTCGTACTAGATCGATTATTTCCGAGTTTAAGTAGGCAGTCAAACAAAGGCAGGGTGTGCAAGTTGTAACGACGGCACTTATGCGCCATAGCACCTGTTCCTCGTATGTTGGGAACGCAAAAAACCAAGCCATACAGTGGATGCCGCCAAATATGATTGCCATAATCAATGCAGCTTGCTGAAGAATCGTTTTGTCCGAAACGTCGAGTTCGATGCTGCCATCAAATGTTGGAACTTGGAGTTTTCGAGATGTGGGAATATCAGCCCAGCCTATCAGTTCTATAATTGGGCTGAAGACTCGAGGCAAGTATCGAAGCTGAGCGAAGTCATCTCTGTCACTGATACTAAGGCAGACATAATTAACAATGGTATAATTGTTTAGGCGCATACTACATACTCAATGTGATCCTCGGGCCTTGATTCGGTCGACTTCCAGTACACTGGATGTGGACATCGCACATCGAGAGGCTTGTCCCACCACACAGCATAAGTTAGGAAATTAAGAACCGCAAAAGCGAGTGTTCCCACTTCGAGCTGAGTGGTTTCGAGGCGATAGATGACGCGGGTGATGAGCTGCATAACGAACCAGGCCACCTGAAGCATGATCAATCCTTTCGATATCGCATTGCCTTTGCTTTTGTCATGAATCTGGTTTGCTGTTAGAGTAGGAACTTTGATACATTTGTCATGTATCAGTTTGAGGATGTGCTTAGGTCGTAGCGTACGGTAGGGTTCCTCGTTCACATAAAGCATAAAACCACCCATGAGCACAAAGAAGCTGTGCGTCCGAGTCCACGTAAGATCTAAGGATGCATATGAGTCAACATTGGGGAGAGCACGAATCTGACTCACCTTCCGAGTCGGACTCGGAGTGCTCTGACTGAATCCGCCTTACAACCCACGTCACGAGAGCACAAAGGAGACGCCAAAGAGACACCGGCACACCTGTAACAAGCATGACAGAGAGGCGAACGAAAGCCTCAGTCAAGCGGAGAGAGAGGCGAAGGAAGGGGTTTGCAGTTTCAGGTGCTTCGACAAACTCACTTGCTAGAAACATAGTGAGTTGTGGGATGCCACAGAGTTTCGAAAAACCCAACTCACCTTCAGACTCCGGACGAACATTGGGATACCCCGATTCCTTGAACTGTCTGGTAACTTGATGAGCGCTGAACAACTGGCGCATAGCCCATGTAACGATCAGCTCAGGAGCGATTAGCGCCATTATCATGATTCCAAGTTGTCGCCATAGAATGTGATACCAGCTGCTGTTCTTAGGACTTGGGATATTGGGGTGGATGGCACTGTATATGCATGCGAAAAGAGTGAGAACAGAGCTGGAGATGATAGTCCATAAGGTTCTGGTCGTGAATGACGGGGCTTTAAAACTGTCGTTAGGAGTAGTAGTATTTGTTGTGTTTGGTGTAGGTGAAGCTTGGATTACTTCGATGAGGTAAAGGAAAATGCAGAAAAGTGGTAAGCACATTATTGATATTGAATGTCACTTTGGGGTGCCCGGTGTATTGCGACATGCATCTTGTTCACTATTTGTATGTTACTGGCAGGCGTTAGTACAAGGCTGAGAATAGGCTGTTCTTATCTCTCGAGCGTTCCGACGTTCTCGAAAACAAGATACCTGGATCCTTGGGTACCCTGCCCATCGCCGCTGCCTCCAAAACTTGACGTTGAACGTTAATATTGTAAATGGTACTGGCACTTGCCGCAATATGCCACCAATGTTGTTATCTATGCACTCTTTTTTCCGTGCTCCAGTGGGCATACGCTCGGTTCTGTTCTTGTTAAGCACATGCCATCCCTTCAAGTGTTTCGTCGTGCATACATGCAAGGCTATGGCTCTGATCGCGGCCCTTGGCGTTATCGTCTCTTTCCAGAGCACGAGCTACGTGCCCAGATCCTGAAACGCTGCACAACTAATATCTCAAGTGACGGAAGGAGCCTTGCGGCTTCTCTCCAGCCTCACGTTAGTTCAGTCAACGAGGACAGATATCTGATTATGGATTTAAGCCTTCCAAATGGTGTTTGGAGCTTGAACTGTGTCTTCGATGGTGCGTGCTACTATGAGGCACCACAAATACACCTTCCCCCTCGCATCTTATTAAACAATACAACATCTTCTATGCAGGGCATGGAGGGCATGAAACAGCTGACTACCTTGTCTCCGAATTGCCCTCACTTTTAATGGCTGGACTGTTGCCCACCGTGACCAACTTGGAGGGCGTTTCAGATGTTCTCACCAGAGCGATTTTTGACGTGGATGAAGCAATAACACGGGACTTCCTCAAAATATTCCCTGAAGAAGTCGACGAGATCGCTACGATGTCAGATATAACAGTCAAAGCGCGGGTCAACGACCAGTCTTCCGGAGGACTAAATCATCAGAAAGCCCTACGTTGCTTGAGGGGATCTACAATCTTATTGACGCTCGTCGACCCTACAAAGAAACATCTTTGGGTGCTAAATCTCGGTGATGGCTTAGTGGGTAAGCTGAGGTGAAGGTTCAAGCGGAAATTACTGACATCGACTTTGGAGCAGTGCTCGGAAGTAGACGACACGCGAATTCACAATGGAATGCATCCATCTTGAGCGATAATCATAATGGCAACAACCCTGCTGAGGCCGATCGCATCAAACAGCAACACCCTGGCGAACCAGAATGCATCTTTGACGATAGAGTGCTCGGTAATCTTGCTGTCACGAGAGGTAAGCCTATCGAATGCATTGGATCAGTT